TGTACAAATAAACGTTTTCTGATTTTTCAAATAGTAAAAAATTAAGTTTTTAAACCTCCTTGATCTAATTTTAAAAATATTTCAGAAATTCCATTTCAATTGTACATGCATACTTAAAGTATTTATTAATAATCACATAACTTTTAGTTCTTTTTAAACATTATCAGTTCAAAGCCTAATTAGTCAAAATAAATAGAATGAATGAGTACTTATAATTATCGGTCTACGGCGAAATATTATTGAAAATTAAACAAAAAATTATTTCAACGCAAGCATTCTGAACAAAATCATTACATCACGACAAAGCATCACATCAGTGATGCTAACAACCAAAAGTTCTAGCACAAGCGCACAACGACTTTACTCTCTCTTTCTAACTAGGCAGGCAGTAGAGGGAGAGCTTCCTCTAAACGTAAGTCCCAATTACTCTAACAGCTTAAAGAAAATTTAGTACTATACGGAGAGGTAGTCGCTTTTGGCTAACTCGAGAAGATTCTTTGCCCGTGTGACAAATCTGACTAATCAAGGTTCAAAAACTACCAGGAAAGTTCACCGTTTGATAAAAAAAAATCTATTTCACTATTTTCTCGAGCCGTTATGGATAAGTTTTTTTATAGTTTAAAATTTGAAAATAATATATGCTATAAAAAATTTATACGGGTGATTCTACCGCAAGTGGCTCATTTCGTATCCAGGGTTCATACTACTACGTGAAACTTAAGCTGAATATTCTAATCATATGAAGTTATGTTAAAAGTGTTAAACTTTCTTGAAAAAAAACTTTCAAGCTGACATATTGACTCCTCAATAACATAGTCAAGAAAATATAGTCAAAATGCCACTCCCGTACCCTGTCCCAATCTCAATTTTGCACCTAAAAGTTCCTGCTAGGAAAAAAATGAGCTTTTTTACCATATCCTCGCACACACATTGTCAAATATAGATGTTGTGTGTTACATTCATGCCATAATAACATTAATTTTTAATCTATAAGCTAGAGTTTTTATCAAATACTAAATATCCCACGATTTCAACTGAAATGTCGGTGATAACAGAAATTCCTTTAAAAACCACACTGCTGTAATTCGTAACACCTTTTAGTGGTCCCTTTTTTAATCTCACATCATAACAAGACAAACGCACAAGCCAAAGGTGTCAAAAATTTTAATCTCTTTAATCAGTACATATTTTCGCCATACTGCGCCGAAAGTAAAAACTTGTGAAAAATAGGTGCATGCGTGTGTACAAAAATGTTGGTGCCTTCCTCTCCCCCCCCCCCCCTAGACTACCACTCGATTACTCATATAGGCAAGGAAAATTTTTTTTCTTGTATTATTTACTAAAGACAGATGTTTTGTAAGCGGAAAATCGTTGATATCAAGTCTACGAATCTCTAAAGCTCGAAGTATCACTTCCGTACCTGTCACCTCCATACCCCTAATGGTAAAAGTGCCTCTTTTTCTAGCTTTCGTGCATCGGTAATTTACAAAAAAATTTTTACAGTATTGTTGGGCTAAAACATGAGATACGTGTCTCTGGGTTTGGTCTAATTGGCCTTTTATCATAAGATACATCGATGAATATTGATTCCATTTCTAACAATAATTAGTGAAGAAGTCAACTATTTTAGGTGGTCCAAAATAGGCTCAATGACTGCTGAAGCGGAGCTTTATCAATTTAATATTGCAGGATCGCCCACATATGGCATTTCACAAAACTGCAATGTTTTAAACGCCTTAACTTAGATTTTTTATACTGAACATTTAGAATTTATAGATCTTTTTTTTTAAGTTATGTGAGGTTCAAATTAGTTGGAAACTTTTTGGTCTGACTCTACGATCATTTTTTTAAAACCTATGTTTATACACATGCAACTTTTTTAAAAATTTCAAAACAGCGTTACCTTTTTTTCGGTTGTGGAGCCCTAAGTTGGAATTTTCCAACGAAATTTGGTTGTCACACATGCTCTCCAAATTTCTTCATGCACTCAGATCCTCTAATTGATAATTGTCTTTGAGATAAGGGGCGTTACAATAATAACCGCTTATTTTACCAAGAAAAATGCTCTGTATTTGTGATGACACTACAAATAGCCACATTCAAAGTAGAGGCTAAAAATAAAATTGACAGTGTGCTGGTACACTCTAGAATCTAGAATACGAAACGTTCAATTTCCAGTTTCTAAAAAAATTTATCACTTATTCAAATAAAATCATATGTGCTCACAGTTCGAAGGGTCAAAAGTAGGCTTCACAAATAAAAATTCCCGTACTATTGAAAAAATTTTTTTCGATATTGTTTGAACTAAAAAAAAAAAAAGGTTCTCGACACCTCAAAATAAAAAAAATCAACGTTTTGGCACCAGAAACCGTAAAGAATGAAATTTTTAAATGCTTCACGTTACGCTAATGACATTTTGGCCTATTTTTTCAATCGCAGGGGCACGAAAAAAAGTTTTTTTTTTACTTGATTTTCAATAAGTATTAAAAAAATTGGTTTAAGCCGTTAAAACAATGTTCCGACTCAAAATAATTTCATCCGTCATTTTCAAAGATAGGTTTCATAGAATATCGCAGTTTTTATGAAATGACCCATATAAGAATAAAAAAATTATTATCATACAACTATAAACGACTTACATATTACTACACCATTTCACGGTAAGACTTTTTTAAAATTATTTTATTACAACTAGTAATCTCTTCAAGTACAAAATTTTTCTCACACTTTTGCGGAGCTATATAGTTTTTTATAATGCTATCAACAATGTAAGTTTTCTGTTTTTGTAAATAATTGATTTAACCAAACGAATAATCATAAAAAGAAAATATTTGAATGAAAATGAAAAAAATGTATACAACGAACGTTGTGCAATTGATTGGAACCAAATGTGTAGCGTTACCTGAACTTATAATAAGATAACTTTTTTGTCAAGCTAGTTTTTCGACAATGATCAATAAAATTTATCACTTTTACTCTGTATCATTTGAAAATCAAATATCAACAATTAAACGCATTGCATAATGAATCTGTCGTTTCTTTTAATATTATAATTTTGTACTTCGACTATTTACTAGTGGTAATAAAATAATTTTTCGCAATAGTGTGCGGAAAATAGGTGTTTTCCGCACACTTATTGCGAAAAAACTTGTACGCAACTCGTGCCGGACGATTTCCCGCACTCGTGTGATAGACTCGCACTCGTGTCCGGTGACGGTAACTCGTGCCGTGCGATCACACTCGTGGTACGCACTCGTGTGCTCAACTGGCACTCGTTCCCGTCAACTCCGGCCACTCGTGCGAGTCAATCACGACTCGTGCGGGAAATCGTCTTTTCCGCACTTGTTACGTAAATAACTATTTTAAAAAGTCTCACCGCGAAGTGGCGCAGGAACAGTATAAGTCGTTGGCAGTTGATTATTTATAATTTACTAATTCTTATAATGTATACTACTTATAGTATAGAATATTTTTAAATTGTGAATTATAAAAGAGTTAACCATAACGGCTCTGAGTAAACAGTGAAGTATTCTTTTTTGTATCAAATCGTGAACAAAGAAAGTCCATTATGATAATTAAACGTAAATAAAAATTAATCAAATTATTTAAAAAATACATGTATACAAAAAAAAATTTTCCTTATAGTGTCTTCTACCTAGTATTAAATAGTCAAATTTGTCGCATGGGCAAAAGATCTGCTCCAGTTAGCCAAAAGCGACTACATCTCCGTTTAGTATTAGAATTGTATACAAATAGTATGGTAGAGTTAGTTTTACGGTCCATAAAATTCTGACTAGCTCAAAAAAATAGGGTAGTAGTTTTAATATATTATCATAAATTGGAACAGAATTTAACAAGTAGAAATGTCAGCAAGAGCCCCAAAAAAATGGCAAAAATGACCAAAACATGTTTTTCGCATCTAGAAGAAAACCGAAGAATTGTACATAAGAAAAATGTGCAACCTTAAGATGAACAAAATGAGCCATGTCAAGTTCAGATCGGTTCAGTCGTTTTTTTGAAAATCGCTAAAAACTGCCTTTTTAATCCATTTTTTCGAAATTCAATAACTTGCATTCTATACAATATTTAGAGCTAAAATCTTAACACAAAACATATTATATAGCCCTTATCATACACACAAAATTTCAGCTTAATCGGTTCGAAACTTTTAGCGAACCGTAGCAAAAACCGAAAAAAGGTCCTTCCAAAAAATAGCCATAAAAAAGTTGTTAGCCAACATAGGTACCTTTTAAAGGTATTTCGCTTCGTCTATATTTACTCTACAAGTACCTAAAATGCCATTCATTTTTACTAATTAGAATTATATTAAAAATCGATTGCAAAAAAGCACATTTCGTTTTGAACGCGCTAGAGGAAAACATGCATGCCGAAATTGGGCAAGGCCTCCAGCGGCGGCTAGTCGAGCCGCCGATTCCACTGACCGGAGAGCAAAAAGCCATTTTTTACAACTAATTTGTAAGATACTTTTAATTCGTTAAAATGATTGGCACTGACAGAGTAAATATGGACGAAGCAAAATACGTTCGAAAAATGTACCTATGTTGGCTAACAACTTTTTTATGGCCATTTTTTGGAAGGACCTCTTTTCGGTTTTTGCTACGGTTCGCTAAAAGTTTCGAACCGATTAAGCTGAAATTTTGAGTGTATGATAAGGGCTATGATATCTGTCTTGTGTATAAATATTAGCTCTAATTGTTGTATAGAATGCGAGTCATTGAATTTCGAAAAAATGGGTCAGAATGGCAGTTTTTTGCGATTTGCGAAAAAACGGCTGAACCGATCTGAACCCAATACGGCTCATTTTGTTCGTCTTAAAATTGCACATTTTTTTTATGTACAATTCTTTGGTTTTCTTCTAGACGCGAAAAACATGTTTTGGCCGTTTTTGCCTTTTTTTGGGGGGCTCTTGCTGACAATTCTACTTGTTAAATTTTGTTTCAATCTGTTATAATACATTGAAACTACTACCCTATTTTATTTTCAAGCTAGTCAGAATTTTGGAGATATTGTTATGATTTTTAGCTAATTCTACCATACTAAAACTGTTAGAGTGGGCGGAGCCTGCTTTATCGAGGAGAAAGTGAAATCGTTGTGCGTTTGCGCGAGAAATCTTGGTTGTCAGCATCAGGGCATCACATAATAATTTTATAGTAGTTGTTACTACCGTTTTTATTAATTTGCATCAACTTTCTAATCGGTATAAAAAATACTCCGAAAGTCTAGTTTAAATAAGTATTGAATAGAAATACTAGAAGTGTCATAAAAATTGGCTCATACCAATTTCATATTTCATTACATTTATAAATCAAGTACAATAAAATTGGTTTGTAAAAACAAGTACGAAGATAGTTAGTGTGTCGATCGTAATATTCGTTGACGAAATATTTTCATTATTTATTAATTGGTGATTATTTAATCTGTCGCGAAATATGCTGATAAAAATGATTTTTAAAGTAGAGAATAAGTCTTATTAGTGACAGAATACAAAAAATGTATAGTGACATAGCAAAGAGCACGAGTAGGATCATTCTTGCATTTACACTAGCCTCAATTTCTTGATTGTGTAAACTTCGATTACTGGCCACCTGTCTGCTATTGGAAGATGAGATTCGATAGCGATAGGAAGCCTGAGGTCAAGCTCAAGAATGCCATCTAGATTTTTGCAACTCTATCTGACCTTCTAAGGTTTTGGCTAGATAAATGACAAACAGTTGGCTCAAGGCGATTCCCAATGCAATTCCAGCAACTGTGTATAAATTACGCTCAGCCCAAGCTCTGATAATTTCTATACAACCACTTGTCCAAACTTTCTTACTGGCTTCTGATACGGGAGTTTTTTGCACCTCATTTCCACACATTTTATTGACCAGTCCACTCTAGAATGTTTCATATTATTAAAAATGTAAATTATTTTAGGGCTTATGATGTTTACATGATTAGACTTATCGATGCGTATAATTATGGTTACTAACTGCAATATTAGTAGCATTGATGCAACAGGAAAATGGAACACCACAACCTTCACTGCTAGGACTGGAACAGTTAAAATATTCATTTTTACCCCAATCTAAGTATCCTACTTGACTTAAGCCACAGCATTTGAACTAGAATGAATGAAACACAATTTATTAACTTTAATTAAGAAATTAATGAAAAAAAGAAATTATAACTGTAAGAATAAAAATCACCTCTTTTTGACCAAAGTCAATAAAGTTTTGCAAATCTGGATCTTCGCGATAGGTTTGAATTATCTTATCAGTAAAAGATTCTTCCAAAAGAGATTGCAATGAATGAGGAAACACAAAGCCCACAACCGCCACACCCATCTCCAAAAGAAAGAAAATTAACAGGCACATTGAATACTGTAAAAAAATATAAATGTTAGGTTAATTTACATATTTTATCTTACTGACACATATTATGTATATTGTATAGTTGAAATAAATAAAGAAGTAGTAAATATGCTACAGAACTTCAGTTAAAAGTATGTGCAAGACTGAGTATTTTCATTGAAAATGACCAAGTTTAATCCTATTTTCTGTTGCCTGCTACTATATATTTTTTTTAACTTTGAAATCATGTGGGAAAAAGTTGTTTTTATTAAAATATAAGGTGCATTAAAGTTGAACAAAATGGGAGTTACGGTACAAAAAAGTACGGCTCAGATCAGAGGTATGTGTATTTGACCGCAGGGTTATTATTTGATTTAAAACACAAACGTATCCCACAGAGACAATTCTCTCGTTTTTGTAAAATTTTAAAACCATACTGAAACTGTTAATGACGATCACATGTTAATAATGATCATCACGACTTAAAATTCTTATTTTCATCTAATTTATTTTATTATATTACATTTACCATTTCTGTATTAAAAATTTTATAGTATATTTACAATCAGCAATCCTAAAGATTCTTATGCGAATAAAATTAATTTATAAACTATCTAACAGTATTAATGAGAAAAATTCCACGAGTTTGAGGTCAGAAACATATTGCCGATTCGATTCATCATACACAATTGACGAGTGTTTATGTAATAACTCAGCAAGCATCATTTAGCTTTTAGAATTTCTTAGTTTACCATAAAGCACTTATTTATACAATTTGTTTGTATGTATTGTAACTTGGGGGAAGCCGAGAACCGACTCTAGGGGGCAGGCGCTACAGTAGATGGCCGAAAGGCTTGATTTCGTCGTCATGAACTCTAGAAGTTCAGCAATGTTCAGGCGTCTTGACGGACCAGGGTACGATCATCAACCTTACACTGGCGTCGTCACAAATGGTGGCACTGGTACTGGCAGGTTCTGTAGGACTATACGGCTAGTTAATACCAGTATATTACCTGCGTGGTACACGAGGGACATGGTGCGGGGTAACCACAAATAATTCGAAGGCATGCTACCGGGTGGAACGTGGCGAAGCACAATCGAGATTCGTTAGGGAATGCCATGGTGAGCGTGCCTTCTCCTGTTGATCTGAATAAGTTCACAAATGAAGCAAAGGTCGAGGCTCTTATAAGCGGCTCCATGAGATGTGTCACAGATTGATGTGATGCGTGTATGTCGAAAGGATTCACAAAAGTCATGAGTATGCGGAAGTGGCTGTTGCCGCGTACAGGAAAGCAAAGAAAACCTTAGTGAGGGCGATCAAGGTAAGTGAGAGCCGATGCTGTCACGAACTCATAGCTGAGCTAAACAGGGACACGTGGAACTTGGGCTACCAGATCGCGCTTGAAAGACTGCGCGGCACAGACCCAATGGCGCCGACGGAGTGTTCCTTCTTGATGAGGGTGTTGTTATCTTGCCTCTTTTTGCAGCATCCTGAGAGGAAGTGTGGAGACATAAGTGTACGCCAAATTCATCTCTTTAGCCTTGATAAACTGATAACATCAGTTATAGGTAGAGGTCAGTGGTCTCGGAGACGCCGAGTTGCAGGGCCTTTGGTCTGGACGAGGTATCGTCCGAAGTTTTAAAGCTCATAGCTGCGGAGAAGCCACATCTTTTTCTGGACATGTTAAATGTGAGCTTGCACGTTAGACTGTTCAGTACGCACTGGAAGATCCAAAGACTCGTCCTTTTGGACAAGGGCTTTCACGGTTAATACTGAACATTGGGGGTCCAAGAGAAGCCAAAATACGGCTCCTTGCGTCGGTTTTCAACTTAATACTATTATATGATGCGGAGGTATGGGCAGATGCGCTAGCAAAACAGGACGTCTGAAGGCGCCTCACTTCAGTACAGCGCATCGGATCCCTTAGGATTGATCAAACGATGACGACGTGGCAATAGGAATGAGCCCAGGCTGGTGAGGAAAGGTAGACGCACCGGGTAATACTGAACCTGCAACCATGGGTGGAGAGGGGACACGGAGAGGTTAATTACTACCGTACGCATTTCCTCTCTGGGCATTGACAGTTTAATATTTATTTCAGTCGCATAGCGGTAATAGCATTACCCAGATGCGCTTACTGCCCAGCATTAGATGATACCGTTGAAAATACGTTTTTTGTGTGCGAGAGATGGCATCGTGAGTGCTAGCAGCTGAAAAAGAGACTCAGATCGACATCCACTCCCGAAAACATTATCTATAAGATGCTTCGCTCCAAAGAGGGGTGAAGGGCTGTAGATGGCTACATCGAGTCTATTGTCTGTCGTAAAAAAAAGGAACTAACCACCGTACAGAGTGCGGGGTCGCCAAGTAAGCCATCTAAGGTGACAAGGTTTCGAGGGCAACTGAAATTTAATGCAGACCCAGGCTGCACCAACAATTAGTAAATTAACTTATCAGCTAGGAAAAGCATTAAGCATATAGTGGCATTTGCAAAAAGTGCAGCCTACAAAGAAGCGCTAGACAACGGGTGCCGGGTTATAATTACGAATGATAATTATGTGAAACATATAAAGTAAAATATATAGAAGAGATAAGTGTGGATATCCTTATTTAAGATTGCTCTTTGAGCTAACGGAAGACAGTCATTTTATATTTTCTTAATATAAAGTTAGTGTACTTGAACTCATTTAAGATATCATAAACAACAGACAACCTATATAGTTTATCTGAAAAATTGTACTACAACGTCTGACCGCAGACTTGACTTTACAGATATCTGATTAAAAACTTACATTTGTGATTATTTATTTAGGCTTAATAGAATTATGTACCTCAAAAACTTTTAATCTATGTCCAGTGAGTGTTCGCCCCATTTGCAATAAGTTTAGGCCCGATTCTCCGTGGAATAAATCCTTCTACTTTTTAAATTGCTCATTTACAGTCTTAAGTAGTTGCATAAACTAAGTTTGTCAATGACAAATAATGATGATCATAAACATTTTAGGGTTACAATGATATTTTTTTTTTTATTTTATCAAATAAAATGTCATATAAATTTATGAATAATAAGTGTACAATATTGCTTGTAAGCTCAAATTTTCTAATCAAAGCCTTAAAACTAACTAAGTAATTCTTAGAATCCTCAATAAGTCATATTAAAACTTTCTTTAAACAAGGCGAGCAAATAAATTCTTATACCTAGACTAAGTGATAGATTAAATGAAAAAAGCACCATTCGTAGTTAGAGTTCCAGAAAAAGTTACCATAGTTTTATAAGACTGCTCAGTTAACTAAAGATTCTGAAAAGTCACCAAAAAAGATTTTTTCAATATCCCCGCGGTAAAATCATGTTACAGCTCCTATTTCGAAGTAGAAATAAGCTCATTAATAACCTACAAAACATGCTCAAAACTCTGAGCGTGTTACATCCGAACTTCTATAAGTGACGGGCAGAGCTCGTAGATTCGTTGTACAAACAAATAAATTTAATTTTTGTTCGTCAGGAACTAGCCATCGGCCCAAAGGCCTTTTTTGCTTTTACTTACAGTATGCTTTTCTTTTCAATCGTTTACTCGACGTTGTGGTGTTAGGTTTCACCGAGCAATATGTATGGAGTGGTGTACGCCAAGCTGGTGTTGACCTACTGTTTGAGTTTATGTCTTATGTCCTACGGTAGTAGCGTATCTTGTTTGTTTTTTTATCTAACGTCCTTGTAAATGTCTTTGTCATACGTTGTCTATTTAATTTTTCCTCGATATTCAATTTATTCATCAAGGTAAGAATTGTGTCAATGAATTAGAATATTGAATCTTGAAATGTTTCATATAATTTAGATATTGGGATATTTTTGATTTAAGAAAGTTATTTATTTAACAACCAAGTTATGTCTTATTTGATGATTTAATAAATTTAGAAAAGCCGGAAATAGTTGTTTTTACAAATAGTATAAATAATAAAGTTTCAGATTCGCATTTACAATGTTTATACAATTTATAGTTTTTCTTGACTTAACTTACTTCTATGATCGTTGGTAAGCCGCTGCTTGCGTGCACGCAGTCACAAAATCCTACAACATTGATCCTAATCCTACACAAGAGGACTTGTAGCGACGACAATAATTAGGCTGCTGCTTTAAACGTCGGAACCCAAGTCGACGGTCCTTTCTTTCTTGTTCCTCCTTGATTCACTTTTTAGGTGAATTTACAGTGGCCTGGTTTGCTCGAGCTTTTCTCACACAGCTTAGTTATCGAACTAAGTCTTGCATTTGCTTGAAATACACGCTTCTAACACGTAGCTTAATCACCGAACTAAGTCTTACATCCTCTTAAAAGACGCAAAAGAACTCACTCTCCAACCTTTATAGTTACTTTGGAGCACTTGATGAAAGAGAAATGGCGAATATTGTTAAGTGCGAGGAGTTTTTATATTCTCGTATGTAAGGAGAACACGCCAGGTTGGGGATCCGAACGACCAGAGCTTAACCTAATTACTCTTGATTTTCACCAGCACAGTTGAGGTGCAATAAAGATACAGTAATTGATGGTTATAACTGTTGATCTCTCAGATTTTATATTAAGTACAAGTTGCTGTCGAAATTGTGTATGATATTTCTTGGGTACATTCGCAGTAAAGAATGTTGAAATTGTTGATTAATCACATTATTTGGTGTACTTGTACGAATTGATTTTGTAAGATGAGCGTTTTATAACATTGTTTGAGGTTGCACGCATAGTTAGTGTGTGGAGAGAGAGCCCACATCGGTCCACCCATCACTGCTTAGGCGAACAACTTGTTATGTATCTATTGCTTATGTGCCACGAGCACTAAATTCGGGATGCAAAATTTTCAAGGTCTCTATCTATTGTAAGTCACACATTCGAGGTCCCGCGGTAATGGTTCTCGATTTCCCTATTTGTGTGTGTGCGCACGCACGCATACATGTTTTTGTTGTTTGCTGTTTATGCGCTGTAAATTATTTAATAAATTTTTTATTTTTAACTTATTTGTATACATATCTCGTTTTTATTTG